TTTAAAAAAAAAAAAAAGGGAACTGAGCAGCCCAGAGAATAAGTGAAGGCAGAGGAGCCTGGGGGGTGCTGGGTCGATTCCAGGACCGCTCTGGTCAGGCTTGGAAGAAAACACAGGCCTCTCTGGGCTGCTGGCTCAGGCACCATTTGGCAGTCACTCATCTTTTAATTTTCCACAAAACATTTAAAAATAAAGACAATAAGTGAAAGTCCCTTTTAATGGGGAAAGGCCTCTTGGGCCTCCCATGGAGGGAAGGCCTAATTTGCGTGGAGCTGGCGGGGCACTCCCCACTCCCCCGGACGTGGCCCAAAGTGGCTGGATCCGGCTGTGCTGGCAGAATTGATCATTCTCATTGGGTTAATTAGAACTAAGCCCAAGGTCATCTCCCGGAAGAGTCCTAATAATGCTTCAGAGGAATACATTTTCAAAAACCAAAGATCAAAAGAAAAAATAAAGACCATGGGAACAAGGGATTCCCCAAAGGGATGGAGCGTACCTAAGGGGGAGCACGATCCAACCGCAGAAATGCCTCTGGGGTCAGACAACGGTGGTTCTAACCACAGCAGGGGTCTGTCTTGGGTATAGTATCTATCGGAGGGACATTAAGGGAAAGTGATGGCAGAGAGGAGCCTCTTAAACTTTTTTTTTTATTGAGATGTAACACAATATAGTAAAAGGCATCAATTTTAAGCACAGACTTCTCTGAAATTTTACATATAACTGCATCCATGTAACTACTACTTGGATCAAAATACAAAACATTCCCAACACTTAAGAAGGTTATCTCTTCCCCTTTCCAGTTAATATCTGCTGCATACTCCTCCCTCTCCCAGAGGTGACCACTGTTCATTCACGCAACATTATGCCTGCAAGGCTCATCCATGTTTTGTGTGGGAAGAATTTTTTCTTTTTTTTTTATTGTTAACTCAAATTCCACTGTATAACTATACCCCAATCTATCCATTCCCCTGTCGATGGACCTTTATTTCCCGTAACATTTGGCTGTTTTCAATAAGGTGGACAGGAACTCTCTTGCAGGCATACATTTAGCTTTAGTGGACACTTCCAAACTTCCTGAGAAGTTCAACCAGTTTTCACTCTCACCAACACTGTGCAGAAAAAAATAAACCTCAACCCCTACCTCCCACTATACAGAGAAAATCAGTGTAAGACAGGTCATAGAGCTAAGCACGAAAGACAAAACAACAGAGCTTCTAGAACGTAGGGGAAAATCTTCATGACGTGAGGACAGATAAAAATAGAAGACATAGCCATTAACCATATGGAAAATATTGACAAATCAGACTTCTTTAAGTTAAGAACTTTGTTTCTCAAAAGATGTTGCTAAGACAGGGAAAAGGCAAGCTCATTTGCAGCAGATATATGCAACGTGGAAGTCCCACAAAGGACTCCTACCCACCATATATAAAATACTCTACAAGTCAATATGAAAATGACAAGCAGCTCCATTTTAAAGGTGATTGAAAGGCTCAAAAATCACTCAAGGAAAGAGAAGATCTGAATGATCTATGAGCATATGAAAAGATGTTCAAGACCTCTGGTCACCAGGGAAATACAAAGTAAAACCGCAATGAGATACCCACCACACGAACCACCAGAAACAAAACAGACTTTATCAAGTGGTCATGATGTTGTGGAGGGATTCTCACTGCTGCGAACCGCCCAAGAGGGCTGGTGCCAGGACTCTGAAAAGCCATCTGGCTGAACATATGACATCCGTGACCTCATACTTCCACTCCTGCATGTCTACCCACCAAAAAACTGTGCACGTTTGTGCACCAAAAGATATCTACAGGAATGTTCATAGCAGCTCTACTCTCTGGGCCCGAATGGAAACGACTTGAATGTCCAACAATACGTTTGAGTTTTAAAAATTGTAGTGTATTCATATAACAGACCACTACACAACAATGAATAGATTTTTGTTATATCCAACAACATAGATGAATCTCACGGGTATATTCTACACAAAGCCAAAACGTATGCACTGGTGTTCTGTTTATGTGAAGTTCAGAAATGGGCAGAGCAGTGTATGTGTGACACTGCTAGTCAGAACAACGGTTTTTTAGGACAGCAGTGAAGAAGCAAAAAGACGTGTAATCTAGCAGAAGATGCGGACAATAATCACACACACACACACACACGCACACGCATCCATGGATCACGGTTGTGAAGGAGAAGTCCAGAGATTTATGAGGTGAAGACTTGACCTCATCTGGGGACTTGGGGAGGGCTCCCCTGAGGACCTAGACAAATGGCAATGCAGAGGTGGGACAGGGAAGGGGCATCAGAAACAAAGAGAACAGCAGGTGCAAAAGCCCGGAGGTGGGAGGAAGCGTGGCACCTGGAGGATGGCAGGTGGGGCTAGAGCCCAGAGGCCAAGGGAGCAAATGGCACAGGTGTGGCTAGAAGGTCACATCTGGGCTAGACTGGACAGGCCCCATGGGCTCTGATGATTTGGGAAAAGAACAGCAGGACACAGCAGCCGGGGTTTTAAGCAAACAAGTCAGGTGGTGGGGGATGAGGGGGCGTGGCTTTGGTCACGTGGCCCAGTCTGGCTGGACTTCCAGAGCTGGGTGTTTCTGTCTCAGGTCTACTCACCCACTACCTGGCAGTTCCACATCGTGTGGAACTCTAAGTTCCCGCTGGAGGAAGTGCCTCAGAAGACTCCGGAGTTCTGCCCGGGGCTCACTGCTGGCTGGGGAAGGTCCCCGCGCTGACTCGCAAGTATGCTACTAAAGAGTTGTCATATTATTTTAGTGACTTTTAGAAAAAATGGACAGAATACCCAGCCTAGCCCTTTGGGGTCATCATGCCCACATAAACCTCTGTTCTGATTCCAGGCGTTTGTTCTGTGTCCTCACCTTTTCACTGAGCATTTTTGGTTGAGTTCAGTCACTTTCTAGCTGGACGAGGCCAGGCAGAGGATGCCAGCAGGGGACTCTCAGTGGGGAGGTGGATATCTAACTGTACAGTGCTGGCCACAGGGCATGCAGAGAGAGAGCTGGGAGGACGCCGGTAGGGAGGAAGGCAGGCCAGCACAAGGAGAAGGGTGATGAGCAAAGGACCACTCTCCGAGGCTAACAGGGTGGGATTCCTCTAGTCTGTCTGCAGGCTGGCTCTGAGATTCAGGGCAGGGGTATCAAAAATGTCAGGGGTATCGTGCTCAACGTCAGGGACCCTGTGCCCTTCAGCTTACAAGGCATGAAGGAGCAGGGCAGACGAGACAGGGGCCAGCAGTGGAGAAAGTGCCTGTAGGTGAGGCCCTTAAACTGATGGCTCAGCGGGTAGAGGGCAAACCAGCCAATGTAATAAGAGCAAAGTCCAATATGGTACCTTGTACGTGCCAGACACTGGTCTAGGCACTTCACAGAAATGTGTCTATTTTGTAGGTGAAAAATACTGAAGCACAAGGTATTTTGTTCAAGGTCACAACTAATATCAGAATGGACAAGGTGCAAGGCTAGGCAGTCTAGCTCCAAGCTCATGCTACACTGCTTTTCTATGCTAAGATGTTTACCCACAATGGGATTTTGGAAAACAGAGCCAGCCCCAGGGAGAACCTTGGCAGGTCCTATACCTGGGAGCCCAGGAGACCTTGATTAGCTACTGGGAACCCCTTAGAAAGACCAAGGGGATCTTTTGGATGAGCCTCAGTCTACCCAAAATGCATGAATGACACTGTCTCTAAGCTCAGCAGATAAGGGTCCTGAGAAATGATGCTCAGGCTCCCAGGCCCCATTCTCACATCATTCATTCATTGATTCATTCAATAATTATTTCAGTGAGCAGTTACTATACACCAGTCTTTTAGGTGCTAGGGTTATATCAGTTAACAAGAGCCTTCCTTCCAGTAGTATTGGAGAAAAGGAGAAACACAACAAACACACACCATTATTTAACTACAAATTGTGATAAGTGCCTTGAAGAAGAAAAGCAAGGGGCTATGATGGCAAATTATAGGAAGGATGATCTTGTCTTCCCTGGGAGTGAGATTCCTTAGGCGTGAGATTTTTAAATGGAGTTCTATGGAAGTCTAGGGATATATGGAAGCTATTTCTAGAATGATCTGAGCCTCTAAGTTAATTTCAATTAAATGTGTGTGTTGTGTGTGTGTGTGTGTGTTGTGTGTGAATTATATTTTTAAAAACAGTAACAAAAGAGCATATGCGTATACTCAAACGGGCTATAAGCCACCCTAGAAACTGGCAGCTCATTCAGGTATTGACAAGTTGCTTTTTTTTTCTCCCTGAGGATTTTGGAATAAAGTTCTCCAGTCCTTTCTGTGCAGTCATTGGAGCTTATTGTAAATGTGTCACTAATAAAGAAGGATGCAACCCAACTTCTGTTTTGTTTTATTTTTTTAAATCCAGGTGTGGGGAAAACTGACTGGATTTACTAAAGCTGATTTTTATAACTTATAATTTTCCTGTTATTGTGCAGCTAAAACAAAATATGGAAATGTATTGAATGCTGAGGCTAATGTCAAACTTCCAGTGTCATCCATAGCCTCTGGGGTCAAATTATGTTAACCATAGAAGCAGCTTCATTGTTTTTTAGTAAGTCTTTTTATGGCAACTAAATGTTGCATATTTTAATTACTGATACTCTGGGTAGGATTTCAATGAAAGAAAAACAAGTTTGAAAGTGCCAGCTTCAGTTCAAAGGTGTTGGGGATATGAGCTGACCTCTACATTGCTACCTCCCCAACCCCATCTCGGGCCTCATTGTCCACCTCCTCCCATGGCCCCTCATTCCCTCACGGTACCTGCCAGTGGCCTAGAAATTCCTGATGGACAACCTGGGGGATGACACAGCCTACACTGAACTGGAAATGAGGCAGGTCCCCAAACCAGGAGGCATAGGCTCTAAGCCTCGAGCCCACCAAGAGCTGGGGCCCATTTTCAGGACCCTGGACAGCAAACGCAGCTCCCTCTGTCCCCACCCCTGGAAGATATCAATCAAGGCTGCACACTCACCCTTCTTGGTGGCCTCGAAGCTGTCATGAAAGTGAATCCTCTGGATGTCATAGGTCAAGGTTGTGTTGGGCAGCAGAGTCCTGTTCCTGTTGATGATGTTGGCAGAAAATCGAAAAGCATGTTCCTCAGCATTCATGACCTGGGCGTTGGGGCCATCCACATACTCAAAGATTCCTCCTGCAACAGATGGGTAAAATCGTGTGTGCTGGGGAAGGGGGAGGGCATGCTAACAAAGTTCCTTGGCTCAGAAGGATTTATGGACAAGACTTTTCTCCCCAAAATATTCAATACTCTCTTAGATAATTCCATGCATGGAAATTGTGCGAGAGCATAAGAAATACGAAGATCCTCCTAGTTCATTTCACTCAGCCAGCAACAGAGACTGACACCCCAGACTGACAAACAGAGCCAAATAAAATGACCAACTTATTAATATTGCTATGAAAATTCTCAATAGAGTGCTGGAAGTAGAATCTATTAGACTATTACAAGGATAACATACCATGACCAGGTACAGTTATATTCAATAAAAAGAAAGGGTGGTTCAACATAAATCTATGAATATCATTCCATTCCATTCCATTCCATCAATAGTTCAAAGGAAAAAAATAACATATGATCAACTCACAAGATGTAGAAAGGCATTTGATAAAATCCAATATCTACTGCTGTTAAGAATGCTTAATAAACTAGTACCAGAAAAGTTACTGCCTTGAAGCATCTTTAGCTCAAATCTGCCTTCAATATCACACTAATGGTGAACACTAGAGACATTCTCATTGAAGAGATAAAGGAGGGGTAAAGATTTACACCACACCATTAACCAACAAAATAAGAAAAAGAATTTAGAGACACACCTCTTGGAAAGAAAAAATAATTCTTGCAAATGATATAAATGTTTTCCTGCAAACCCTTAATCCCCAGGCACAAAAACTAGTTAAGAAGTAGCAGGAGCAGGAGGGTTGAATTAAATGACCAGTTAGCACAAATTAATACCATTTCTTTATATCAGCAACAACCAGTAAGAAAACTTAATGGCAAAAGATCTCCTTTCTATGATCAACAAAAATATTACATAAAGAATAAGAAAACAAATAAGAAGTATGCAATTTCAGCATTAAAAATGACAAAAACACTACAAGGGAGAGATGTAACAGCAGATTACAATGAGGAGACATGGCATGTTCCACGACAGTTAGGCTCAAGAATAGAGGTGTCAGTTTATTCCAAATTAGTTTTTCAGTTTAATGCAATTCCAATCAGAATCACAGAAGGGTTTTTCTTTTACTGGACAAGATGACTCTAAAATGCATCAGGAAGACTAACCAGGAGATAGCAGCCTAAAGAGATGACAGGTGATCTGCACTGCCGGATTTAAAATGTATCATAAAAGCCAAAATAATTAAAAACATGTCCTAATGGCATATGAAAATACAGACAGATCAATGGGATGAGATGAAAAGCCCCCAGAAAGAGATTCAAGTAAAGATAAGTATTTAAGACATAACAAAGGTGGCTGTTTCCAATCAGTAGGTAAAATATAAATTATTCATTAATTGTGCTGAGACAATTATTCAATCATTTGGAAAAAATTTAAGTTAGATTCCCATCTTTAGCCATATATCAAAATAAGTTCCAAATGTATTAAAGATTAAATAGCAAGAAAGTAAGGGAAGGAAGGAAGAAAGAAAACAGTATAAAAGTACCAAAAAAGAAGATGTAGGTGAATATTACACAATATTGAGGTGGCGGAGGTCTCTCCAGGCATTATAATAAAGTCAGAAACCATAGGAGAGATGCTGATAACTCCACAGAAATAATATATATCAAGAAATAATATATCAAAACTACCATGAACAATTAAATGGCAAACATCAAACTTGGAAAAATATTTGTAACATATTTGGCAGTATAAAAGTTGATGTTCTTATTTTATAAAAATAAACACTTAAAAGTCTACAAAAAAGACAAATATTCCAAAAGAAAAATGTGCAAAGGGCAAGCATGGGCATGTCACTAAAGAAAAAAATAATACAAAGGAGTTATTAACATATGAAGAAATGTGTGTCTTCACTAAAAACCAAATAAACTCCATTTCAACCAACAGAGATTCACCACGTCTTGCCCATCCCACTGGCAAACATAAAATAACTTATAACACTCAGCTTTGCTGAGGGCCTTTGGAAGGCAGCTATGCTCACCACTATACCAGCAATGCATGCTAAGGGCGTTTGGAAACAGACGCTTGCTTAACTGTTGGTGGAAGTGGCAACTGGTATACCTCGCCTTCCTGGTGGCCATCAGAAAATACCAAAAGCCTTAAAAATGCTTAGGTCTTTGACTCAATACTTCTCCTTGACTCAATACTTCAGTTTCTGGGAATTGACTCTGACAGCAATGGTGGACATACCAGTCATGTATGGGGAAGAGGATCTAGGGATGTCCAACACCAGAGAAAGAGTCAATAAACTGTAATAACCTATATATTTCCATGCAGTAGCAAAAATTTAATGATTTGGGAAATACCCAAGACATATTTTTAAGTGAAAAGCAAAGGTTATAAAGTTGGGAGTTGCAGTGCGATTCCACGTTAGAAGAGGGAGAACAGAAGGAAGATAAGGAGGAATCTTTAATATTGACGGAAAAATAGGAGGTGTTTCAAAACAGCATAAGCGAACAGTCCTATGTGGTAGATTTATTTTGTTCTTTGCACTTTTCTTTATTTTCCAAGTGAAGCTTTATGTTTACTTTCTTTACTCTTTTAAAAAACCAACTTCATAGAGGTATTATTTACATTAAGAAATTCCACAAAATACATCTTAAGTGTACAGTGATTTGGGGGTAAATTCATGGAATTGTGTGAGCATCATCACAATTCTGAACATTCCCATCACCTCAGTGAGATCCCACGAGCCTGTTTACAGTCAATCACTGTTTGCAGCCCCAGCCCCAGGCAACTACTAATTTACTTTCCGTCTCTAGAGATTTATCTTTTCTGGACATTTCTTATAAACGGAATCATGCAGTAGGTGGTCTTCTGCATTTGGCTCCCTTCGCTTAGCATATTTTTGAGCCTTATTCATGTTGTAGCACATAGCAGTGCTTCATTCCTTTTTACTGATAAATAATAATACTTTCTACCAATGTACCACATTTTATTTACCCATTCATCACCAAGTTAATGGGTATTTGGGTTGTTTGCACCATTTTGAAAAAAATTTTTTTCCAAGTGAGTATTTTAAAAAGTGAACAAATCAATCTGCCCCCCACCTGTCCTCCAGCAGGTTCACAATCTGTAACACGTAGTGTGTACACATGTGAGTCTGTGTGGGGGTACATACACATGCTGGGCGCACGCATAAAACAAGACGAGAAGAATGCATCCCAAAATGTCAAGAGGGCTTCTCTCTGAGTGGCAGGATTATGGGTGACTTTAATTTCCTTCTTTGTGTTTTTCCGTATTTTCCAAAAGTTCTGCAGTGAACATGTGTTATATTTCTAATCAGAAAAGCCATCCTGTGATGGTGTGTATGTGTTTAAAGGAAAATAAATGATCAAAATACCATATGATCCAGTAATTCTAGGGATTTTAATTTAATGCTGGGATTTAGCATTTCTAAGGATATAAATTTAGAATAAGTTAGAGATACATAAACACATTTACATAGAAGGATATTCTTGACATAATATTGAAAAAATAGAAACAATTTAATGTCCCAAAGTAGGAGATTATTCGATATATTAAAAGCCACCCATATGGCAAAACTTGCAGGCATTAAGAGTCAGGGTATAGGATGGCAGGACATGGTATCTGGGATTTGCTTCAAAATCATAGGGGAGGGGTGGGTGTGAAGTGGGTATGGATAGGGCAGGAAAGGTCATGGGTTACTGGTCACTGGGGCCAGATGGTGGGTACACAGGGCTCCATTATACCATTCTCCCTAAGTGGATATGGCAGACATCCTCTGTAATAAAATATTCTTTAAAATCATTGTATAAATAAGACAAAATGAACAAATCATGGTAGTGCAATTAGAAAGGAGATGCAATATTATTTGCAGACGCTCATTACTGTTTTCTTAACAACTCAAGAGAATCAGATGGAAACATAGCAGAATCCAGACAGCTCATCAAGGAGCCAGCATACAAATACAGAAAAACATACAGCATTCCTATAACAGTGATTATAAGGAAAAAGACCATATTCACAAAGGCAACAACGAAAACATAAAATACTTTACAATAAATGTGCAATTCTTATACCAAGGAAACTACAAAACTTTACTGGAGGACATAAAAGAAGGCTTGAATAAATGGAGAGACATAACTTTCTCCTGGAAGAGAAGGCTCAGTATTGTAAAGATGTCAGTTCTCCTCAAATTAATTTATAAATTTAATGCAATTCCAATTAAAATCAAAAAGGACATACCAGAAGGGCATACACCAAAATGTTAACAGAGGTTCTTTCTAGAAAGTAAAATGATAATGGATTGCTTTGCTTAGTGCTTTTTCCTGAAGTCCTCTACACTGAGCAAGAGCTTTGGTAATATGGAAAAAAGCTTTAAAAAAAATGCTCTTAAGGAATACTTAATGATATAGAAAATGCTCGTTCTCCACCCCACCAAAGCAACAAAATTATATTACAGTTTGAAATCTATTTATCAAACTAAAAGTACATTATCTATATTTATAGAAAAAAGACTGTTAAGATTTGTACCAACATTTGACCAATGAGTATCTCTCGATAGAAGGGGTTTATGGATACTTTTAGCTTGCTCCTTGTATTATCTTGATTTTTCCAGGTTACTTACAATAAACACACATTCTTTTTATTATTTTAAAATGTAAAAATGAAAAAAATTATCTAAGGGAGCCTGGGAAGAAGTCTAGTCATTATAGATCCCCAGCCTAAATGAGGGTCAAAGGTCAGGGGACAAGGAGCCCTTTCCTAGGGCTTCACTCCTTCCCCGCCTCTCACATCTTGGCAGGTGGGGCAGAAAGGAGAGGGGCTGATTGTTCACGAGGGTGGTGACACATCTCAGGCACTGAGATCCCAGCCCAGGCGATATGCCATTCAGTTCCACAGACACCGACCGATCTCTGCCACACGCCAACCTGCCACTGAGTTCTAGCCCATCAAGAGAAGTTAGCACCAGGCTTCTGCCCTCCAGG